GTTCAAACGACCTTTTTATCAATCGTCCGTTTATAACTTCGTTTTGCAAACGACCGTTTCAACCGCCCGTTTGATTGGTAACAAACAAGCGGTTGAAAAGTACCTCGTTTGCAAAAGAGGTTACCAATCAAACCCCATGTCTTGTTTAATACAACCAAGCAAACCCGTTACCGCGATGATATCGAAAGAGCAAACTCTTTTTATTAATGCTACTATTTTCTCATATAGTGTAGTCATATGTGACCAAGAGCGGATTTTGACTTAGATTCATCCAGTCTATGTTCGTCATTGCAAACCTGCTTGATACATAAACTTCTAAAATACGAAAAACAATATCCAACAAAAGAATTTTAAGATCCAACTTTCCAAAGATATTCAGATATAAGAACTATCCATAATCCTCATTCATCTAACTCCGAAATTTCATGAAGAAACCACTACAGTACAAAGTGCTTAACAACATCACATTCAAAAAAAAATAAAAAAGACAGCTTCCTTGAAGATCCCCAGACAATATTTGGCTTCTTACCAGGAGCCTTCAGCACCAGCAGTCGGGTTGTGGAACGCCTGGAATTCCCAGAATGTCTTCAACGAGTATGGCTGAGAGACCGTCACACCTTCTTCTGTGATCTTCGCTATCTGCACAGTTTCAATGTATTTCTGTTATTACATTTCCAAACAAAGAGCTTCAACCAAACTTAGTCAAGATCATTCTTGTTCAGGAGACAAGATAAATGGTACACAAAATTTGATATTAATGACAAACCTGAAACTTGTTAATAGCAGATCTGTCACGGTAAAGAAGCACCCGCATACATTTCTCAAGGAGCTTGACACCATCTTCGAAACTCAGGTCTGCATGCCACTCATCACGAAGAATTGGCCTAGCCAGGTGATTTCCAAATCCGGTGGCAATGTGGTTGTCCTCAAAACTAACACCAATCATTGACACCTACAGAGAATCAAATAATCCAAATCAATAGTTACATTCATAAGAAAAATATATGCGAATAGAGAGTATGAGACGTACCATCCCAAGGTAACTTTCCCCATTTTTGATGCCTCCAAGTACAAGAGTGTTCCACAGAGGGTTAAATTTGTTGCGACGGTTATACATTACACGGGTCAGATAGTTGTGAACCTCTTTTGGTCCCAAGGAATTACCATCATCCCACATGTTATCATTTAGGCTGTGTAAAAGTGAGGGCTCACAAGGCATTAGAATGGACAAAAAGAAAATATTAAAAGATGAAGAAGATCGAATGAATTCTTACATGAGCTCATCAAGATAACGGAGAATCTCCTGAAAGTCGCTGATTTCTCCACTAGCACCAAGAAGAGAATGCTTACCAATAGCCTTTACTCTCTCAATGTTCTTGTATCTTAAAGTGGATCCATATGAACCTGCAGATTCGCAAAAGTTTGAGACTGAGTTGAAACCACAGTATCATCATTTCTCTGGTAGAGAAATTCCCAGAAAATCAGGATCATACTTTTCAAACTTAAGAAATAATCCATCAAAATCATTAACCATACGGACAAATCATAGTTCTTACAAATTGTTAACCTATTAGAAAGTAACTATTTCAATGAATATAGCTTAGGCAATGGCAACGAATATAAATGGTTATAATATATTCTGATATGTATATGTTATCTCTTGATCTAATAAACAATATATGGCAATGAGGAAACCAACACTGAAAACCAAAGGAGCTGGAAGCAGTCAAAACATTTCAACTTTATTCGCTGGTTCATTTAAACTTGCGCACTCAAATTAATCAGAGAAGCCTCGATTCATAGTCCACCAACAAAATCTTAAAATAACAGAGTAAAGAAGCAGGAACAACCAAAGAACTGTGAAAGGATACATAAGTAGCCAAATCAGCGCACGAAGAATGTGAAAATAATGTCACAAGAGAGCAGACTCATGGTCATTGACAATAAGAAAGCAGTTGCATGTCTATGTTTAGCCACAACTACATATTCTTATCAATCGAGTGCCTGATAGCCAGAACAACATATATTCTGCATAATAGTGTTGGAACTTAATTCCCTGATTCATCTCAGACCACCTAAAAAAAGATGCAAAAAGCCATGTTGACCAGAAATGTTTCATCACGGTTTCATTATCGTTATCATTATCATCATAATGATTGGAAGAAACAGTGACAGATGAAGAACAGCAACAAAAGATACTAACCATGCCACAGGTGCAGCTGAATAGACACAGAAGTAACGGAAATTACAAGGAATCATACACACAAAACTAGCACTCCAGACAACTTGATTACTAACTGTTCAGGAATGTAGTCACAAGAACATGTGTGTTACTACCTACTACGAAAGAAAATTAAAGTTTCTGAACTTCATCAAGGATTCATGCTGAATTGCTGATCACTACGATGCCAAGATCTCTCACGGAAAAGAAACAGCTTTAACTAAAGAAACAACAGGAGAGGCAAAACAAACGCAGCAAACAATCAAGCTCTTCACGATATATGTATATAACAAGAATTCTACAATGCAAGCAGTTTTGAAAATCAATAAGCATACATGAATCCAAGACCAAATCCAATTACTTAACCAAACTAGCAATGAATTATAAGTGCTAATGACAAATAGGACAATGAAATGCAACAAGTAAAAAGCTGAAAAGAAACAGACCTCCCATATCAGAAGCCATTAAAACCCCATCTTTGTACTTGATTGCAACTATTGAGGTTCCAGTGACATATGGGTACCTACCAAAAAAAAACGCAACATAAACCCTAAAATTGAAAACCGAATCCCAAATTTTCTCAGAATCCAGAACCTCACAT